TTCGGAACTGTTCGCATGCTCAGTTCAAATTAGGTCGTTCGTAGATTACTTTCAAATTTTTAGTTACAGATCTTTGTTCGTGGTTCAACTGAATCAGTTCCGAATTGGTTCTGATTTCCTTGTTCCGGGGTAGGATTGAAATGTGATTGGTGAACAAAACTTTGTTTGCGCTAAGGACTCAGAACAATCAAAACTCTTTCGGAACTATTGTTTGCTTGTAGTAAATTCTTCTTCGTGGATATTTCGAATTTTTTGTTACAGTTCTTTGTCTGGGATTCAATTAGAATCAATTCCGGATTTGTTCTCGTTGCAGTGAAATAAGATCCGCAAGTAGTTTGTGGTTCAACTTGAATCGGTTGCGGATTAAGGGCGAGTTCTCATGAGCGTAAGTTGACATTTTTGGCGTAATCACGTGATAATATGGTGTAGTTTGATTGGTAAAATCTCCACCATGGCGAATATTTTACCAATAAAATCCATCCATTTTATCACGTGATTACGCCAGAAATGTCAACTTACGCTCATGAGAACTCGCCCTAATTCTGAATGAGTTTATAATTACCAGAATATTACTGAACTACATAAGGTGGGTTCGGCTTGCTCACTCCGTGCACCCCGAGTGACTCCATTCGCACTCCAGCCGTTCTTTTACTGGATTATGTGATGTGTCAATTGTGTCATGCTCCCCTAATTCCCCCATCATAAAATTCTGGGATACTCGAGGAAAGAACACTTATAGCGAATTCTATTGGTAGAACCAGTGCAGAAAAAAAATATTTTTATCTTTTTTTTATACAAGCTGGTAGAAAAAGACACGAATACACTCAGTGTGCACTAACCCTTCCAATAGAATTCGCTATTAGTTTCTTCTGTGAGAACAGACCGAAAATCACCATTTCTATTCCATCGAGGTCTGCGGGTGGCGTCATCACTATAAGCGGTTGATAGTGACGTCACTCGCAGGTCCAGAATTGGCTGGAGAGGGAGTAGCTTTTTCAATTTGACACTTGCCGCCTGAGGAGAGAGGGGACGACAGTGGTAGTGATTTCCAATATCTCGCATACGAAATTTGATACCATTTCGAATGCTTTCCATTTAATTTACATTGCTGTCAATGTGTGTCAGAATGAATTCGAAAATACGACTTTATTTAGAATAAAGAACTTAAGCCTAGTACTCATAACTGCGAAATTCACACTTTTTTGACATTGCTTTGACAATTTGACGTTTAATGCGTGTATCAAACGTCAAATTGTCGAAGCAAAGTCAATAATATGCGAATTTCGCAGTTATGAGTACTAGGCTTTATTCGGAACTTTCCGCATGCGCAGTTCAGATTTTGTCGTTCGCATATCACTTATAGCGTTTTTGACTTTTGTCTCAAAACTGCACCTGATTGATGAAAAAGCGATCCGGATGAAGGGATTCACATGATCGGCTTGAACCGGAGCGTTGCTCTCGGCCAACGATAATACACACTACTACTACACCAAGCCAAATTACCAGTTGTGCCGTATGCAGCATGTCGTTTCCCGCATTGACGTAGGCTCTTTGCAACACAGGTTATGATCCTGCGGGTTTTTGCTTCATGCATACTTGGTTTCACTACATTAATTAACATTTTAGAATAACTGCTTTTTAGATCTCGTTTGCATCTTCCTCTTTGTCTATTATGTTAAACAAAATTAAATGATATTTTTCATATTAAATTTAAATTCTAAACTGGGATTGCTGGCGCAAACAACTGACGACTTAGTTATTGACGTCGGCAATGGTGATACACCAATATGGCCGCGAGTACCAAAAACAAAGCCCATTAACAGTTCTTAGTTCTGTGTATTATCCTTGCTCTCAAATCATGCACGGAGCGCTCTTTCTTGTTTCGTGAAATTCGATGGATCAAAGAGTTTGATCAAAATTCAAAAGAATAAAGTACATTCGACTATTGAATTCAAATGGTGTGCCCTCATTTGGATTATAATCGCTCCCGGAGCACTCCCGCAAAGATTTGTAACGTCACCGCCTCAAGACGGGGAGCGCTATGGGAGTAGTAAAGTCGAAAACTTCGACATGTCATTTATTCTTTGTTTTTGATTTTATTAAAAGCAGTTCCAGATCGATTCAGGACAATTTTGAACTATTTCTAAACTAGTTCAAAAATGGTTCGGGATGTGATTTTCGTGAACAACGCTAATAACCTATGTTCTGATCGATGAGCGACTAATTATAAAGTAGAGTGAGCTTAGTCACCGCGGCTCCAGAGTCGCTTTCGGGTGCAGAGTATGGAGCTCTTAGAACACTTCGCACCTGTTATACTCCATGCGTTTTGGAGTAGTTCGAGAGCGCCAAACTTTGTTCATCTGAACGGGTCAAACTGTACCCGGAGTAACGCGGAAGCGCTCAGAGGGTGGCACCCGAGAACGGCTCAAAATAATTCCAGTTCTGGATCAACTCGAACATGAATTGCTCTGTACACTAAAAATGCGAGCTGAGTAATCAAATTGCAAAATGCTTGACTTGAACTTCCACATTGAATTTCGTTTGAAAGGTTATGAAATTGCCTAATTAGTCGTCAGCTGTTTAAACAGCCTACGTCAAGACGAGAAATAACATGCTGCTACGTCACAACTGGTGATTTGGTGTTGGGGGTAGTGGGGGATTTGTTCCACATAGGCCTTATGAGGATAGGCTATCCTGTAGTAGTAGTGTGTATCGTCCTTGGTTTTGGAGTAGATTCTTTGTTTGTGGCTTAACTTGAATCGGTTCCGGATAAATTCTGAAAGGGTTTATAACTGCCAGATTATGACTGAACTAGTTTCAAACTGGGGCTGAGATCACGACAAGTAGAATTTTACTAGAATTCATGACGTCAGAGGTTGTCTAGCAATTGTCATCATTGTCTGTATTTTTTTCTACTGTACGTCATAAATAGTTTGCGAGTGACGTCATGATAGTAGAATTCTACTTGTCGTGATCCGAATCCGTTTTGAAAATGGTTGGGAGTGTGATCCGCAAACCACACTAATACTTTATGTTCGGGTTGATCAGAGGTTATAACCGAGCAAATTTTCTTCTGATCGCAAGCCGAGTATGGACAGAGCATTAGTAATTTATATTTGGGTTTATCAGACAAGTTTTTTTAAAAGAAGGAGGTTGCCTGATAACTTTTATGACGTCATCAGTATGCCTCAACATAATTTAAATCTCCATAAGGCACTTCAAATGCGTCATCGAGTTACCCATTACCAAACAACCTATGAACTTTAGGAACCTTGGTTTTTAGTATTGTTTCTGACTATTTTGCAGATCCAGGCAGTTTTGTACCATAACAGTGCAACTGCAATATAAAGTAGAGCGAGTTTAGCCACCGCGAGTCTAGAGCCGCTTTTGGGTGCAGAGTGCGAAGCTCCTAGAACACTTCGCACCTGTTATATTTCATGTGTTCTGCATTCGAATTTAATAAGCTGTTTTCCCGCGGTGGAACTGGTTCTATCCGGTTCAATTAGGTTCGAATCTGTACATTCTTATGTTGAACCAGTGACGTCACATTGAACCTGGTTCAAAAAAGTTCGAATTGGACTCATAGCTTGTTCTCCGTTCACATAAGACTGTGATTCAAACCTTCCATTTTCTCGTGTTCACAAGTGATGACGTCATCTATAAATTAATTTAAACTGTAGTTCGAATTATTTACCTTGCGAGAAAAGGCCTCTGGCACCGTATTGCCTAGAGAATGACGCAATCATGATTGGTAATTCAGGGCGGGTAAGACGCGAGGAAACGAAAGGAGCTCGAGAACGGCAAACTGTATTCTACTTCAGAGTAACTCCGAAGGCGCTCAGAGCGGCTCAAAATAATTCCAGTTCCGAATCAACCCAAACAATGAATTGCTTTGTACTCTAAAAATGCGAACTGAGTAGTCAAATCGCTCGTTTTCTCAGAACTTATTCAGCCTAGTTTGTTCTGAACAAGTTTCCTGTTCAGTTTGATCACTTTTCGAAAAGACGCTGGCAACCCGATTTTTGAATGTTGCGTTTAAAATTTTTGGCGGCAAATTATTTAAATAAATCAACTTTCGATTTTTATAGGAATTACAATACAGGAAATCGTGTAATAATAATTGAGAGACGCAAATAAAAATTGTAATTAGTATAGAGGTACTTGGAAATTATGCGTATTTGATTTTTTACGTGTAAATAGCAAAGGAGATAAATAAATTTATAGTAAAATGCCAGCGTATGTTAATGTTAATGGCATTTTAATGGGTAATTTATTAATTTTTTGCTTCCAATGTTGGTGCGTTGCAACCATTCAAAGGTTTTGGGTAAACTTGATCTTAAATAAGTTAAATTTGCAATGGTAATTTAATTAAAAGACAAATATGTATATGGACAATGGGCATGGGCATGAGTGGGTGAATTCATTATTACAAATGACCATTTTAGTATGATTATAATAAAAACATTTTTGAATTATATAGAGGTTGATTAACCACAAGGCTGATGAAATATTTAAAAAAATTTAAACACTGTTGCCGTTATTTTCTTCTTATAATAAGTTTTAGCGTTAGTTAAGTTAAGTATTCCTTAATATAAGTTTCATTCACTGTATATCAACGTTGCCCTAATAATGCCTAATTTAAGGTAGATCTTGAGCCACCTGAATGAACTGATTTCAAGTTCACCTTAACTTTAGGGATATACCTTTAAATAAGTCTTGATTTAATGATTGAAATACCGGCCTTCAAAATGAAAGAAATTTTACTTCAAATTTATAATTATTAAATAAATTATTTATTAAGGTATATATGACACACCTCCTTTATCAAAATTATTCTACCCAATACCAATAAGCACCTATTATTAACTTAAAAATTAAGGCGCAATATTTAAACAAAATTGCATCACTATCTCCTGATATGTGTACCTACGTATTATTTATTTTGTTATGCTTTTTATCAATATACAATAATACACACGTAGACAATACTCATATATAGATAACGACCAAATAAATAAATGCATAAAAATAGTACAAAACAACAATCTGACAACATTGTTGTTAACACTACACAAAAATTATATGCGCATTTATGCCGCGGCATAAAAAATACCGAGACCGATAACCGCTTGTTCAGTATTAAATTCGATTTCGTTTCGTGGATATTACAACGATAACTCTCTATAATGTCAGCTTCACCGATGGCGAGACAAGCGGTTGGTACTCAAGCGATCCCTATTAAAAGGGTCTTAGTTAACGACCCTTCGGAGATGCCAAATCATTATTCGCAAACTCCCGGAGGAACTTTGTTTTCAACTACACCTGGAGGTAAGTAATAAAGAACCATTTATAAATATACAAGGTGTTCCGAAATTAATGCATCAAATTTTTATGGCAAAATAAACCCTAGTTTAAGAAAAAAATGGTGCGCCACTGCTTTTTCACAAAATAAAAATCATTTTTGAAATTCCCATTTAATTTGAAACAAATTTGATCTCTTGACTTTTTTCCCAAAGATGCACCGTTTTCAAGTAAATCAATAAAATACCATTTTGATGCATAGCGAAATCGTCATAATTCTGATAAAAATGTCAAACATTTCAAATTTTTTTTTGTGACGTCACTGGTAATTTTTTTAAAAATATTTTTCCCATTAAAAAATGTCTTTTGCTGCTTGAAAGTAGTGAACAAAATTTCACTGAAATATTAGAGTGGTTTGAAAATTATGATAAAAAAATAGTTTTCTCGGATTCCTGTTATATTTTTATTATTAAATTTAGTGACGTCAGATTATTTGAGGGATTTTCAATAATAGGCTTTTTAGGGTTTCCTATATGCATTTCACAAAATTAAAAGCGTTTGAATTTAATTTTTAGACTTAAGCTCGATTCTCAGTTGAGAATGAAGCTTTAAGGTATGAATCGTGATAAAAACGAAGGAATGAAGCGAGGGACCACAAAAGACGGAGACGCGCATCTGTAGTGACGTCACTAAGATATCGGCACTTGACAATAATAGGCAATCCTCTTTGTTTATAATTGATTTGTGTCAATCATTTGTCGGCTGTGATAATTGTAATTGGTTGTCTTTCTCCGTCTCTCTACTGTTTATGTTACATCTTTCTTTTCCCTCGTCTAACGAAATTTGGCAAAATGTGACGCATATTTCGTATCGACGTATCACTATCACTCTCCATTCTTGTCCAAATATTAATAATAATCGGGTGCGTCTGTTGTCGCACACTACTTATAGTGGTACTACCTAACACTAATATAAAAAATTTGTGCAACCAAATTATTTTTTTTCACTTTTTGTACTTACTTACGTCATTGATGACGTCATAATTTAGAAAAAAGTATTTGTCGTTGATTAATTCATAAAGCACGTTCGCAATTATTATTCTTATGGAATAAAATTTTTCAACCAGGGCCGGTATTACAACCTTAAAATCAAGACTTACCCTAAAATATACGGTTTTTACGTTATATTTAGGATGACGTCATCGAACAAGGTCAGACAATGTTGTCCAATGTCTATGTTTATTTATTCTATATCTTAAGGTAACATTGAAATAACGGCCCTTAAAAAATCATTGGAGTCCCAAATATATAAATTAATCAACTGCGTATTATACAGGGTGTTCCTAAATATCATGTACAAACAGCAAAGGGTGATTCTTTGGTAAAAAATCACTCCAGGAAAAATTTTGAAAAACTAACTTTTTTAAGCCAATTTAAGGAGAATTCATCCTCTTACATTTTAATTTTTTTCTAGAAATCTGGCAAAGGGAAAATTGTGAAATTTTTCCAAAAAAAAAAGAAAAGTGAGGAGCTCATTATAGGAAAATTTCAAAATTTTCCAGTGGAAAATCACTCTAGGAAAAATTCTGGAAAATTGACTTATTTAAGCAAAATTGAGAAAATTCATCCTTTTACATTTTAATTTTTTTCTGAAAAGCTGGCAGAGGGGAAATTTTGGAAATTTTCCAAGAAAAAGAGGAAAGTGAGGAACTCATTATAGGGAAGTTTCGAAATTTTCCAGTGAGAAATCACTCCAGGGAAAATTCTGGAAAATTGACTTTTTCAAGTAAAATTAAGGAAAACTCATCCACTCACATTTCAATTTATTTCTGGAAAACTAATAAAGCAAAACTTGTGAAATTTTTCCAGGAGAAAGAAGAAAATGAGGAGCTCATTATAGGAAAATTTCAAAATTTTCTAGTGAAAAATCACTCCAAGGAAAGTCGAGAGGATATTATAGTTCTGGAAAATTAAGTTTTTTAAGCACAATTCATCCTTTCACATTTTAATTTTTTTCTGGAAAACTGGTGAAGCAAAAATTATGAATCTTAACAATTGCCTCAAAGTGTTAAAAATGTCATTGTCATAAATGTCAACAAAAAAAAAAAATTATCGGTTTTATGAGAGGGACGTTACATATATATTTTTTTTTTGTTTTTCTTTAATTGTGCGGTGAATGTTGGGAAACGCCTTGTTTTGACATGTATGTCACAATTCACGATGCTACAGAAAAATAAACTCGAAATTTGTGTAGCAACACTAATTTTTTTTCTATATGCGGCATTTGTAGCAACAATATGTAGTGATGTAGCAACAAATTCGATGTTGCTACATACCAAAAAAAAATTGTAGCAACACGAATTTGTTGCAACAAAATTTCTATTGCTACAGATGAAAAACCTCGTAATCACCTATATTTGGATATTGCTACAAAAAATTCCGTATTGTTACAGGCCAAAGAGTTCCAAATCGCTCGAATTTGGGTGTTGCTACAGATCAAAACCTCTAAAATTGAGTGTTGCTACAAAAAATGTTCATGTTGCTACAACCTGAAAATTTCATTTACATCAAAATCTAGGAATTAAACTGTCAAATTTGGACGTTGCTACAAAAATTTCGTGTTGCTACAGATCAAAAGCCTCGAAATATCCTATATTTGGATATTGCTACAAAAAATTCTGTATTGTTACAGGCCAAAGAGTTCGAAATCGCTCGAATTTGGGTGTTGCTACAGATCAAAACCCCATTGTCGGGTGTTGCTACAAAAAATATTCGTGTTGCTACAACCTGAAAATTTCATTTGCATCAAAATCTAGGAATTAAACTGTCAAATTTGGACGTTGCTACAAAAATTTCGTGTTGCTACAGATCAGAAACCTCGAAATTGCCTATATTTGGGTGCTACTACAAAAAATTCCGTGTTGCTACAGGCCAAAAAGTTCGAAATCGCCCGAATTTTGGTATTGCTACAGACCAACCCCTCCAAAATCGGGTGTTGCTACGAAAATAATCATCTTGCTACAACCTGAAAATCTCACTTACATCAAAATCAAGGAATTAAATTGTCAAATTTGGACGTTGCTACAAAAATTTCGTGTTGCTACAGATCAAAAAACTCGAAATGGCCTATATTTGGGTGTTACTACAAAAAATTCCGTGTTGCTACAGGCCAAAAAGTTCGAGATCGCCCGAATTTTGGTATTGCTACAGACCAACCCCTCCAAAATCGGGTGTTGCTACAAAAATAATCATCTTGCTACAACCTGAAAATCTCATTTACATCAAAATCTAGGAATTAAACTGTCAAATTTGGACGTTGCTACAAAAATTTCGTGTTGCTACAGATCAAAATCCTCGAAATAGCCTATATTTGGATATTACTACAAAAAATTCCGTATTGCTACAGGCCAAAGAGTTCAAAATCGCTCGAATTTGGGTGTTGCTACAGATTAAAACTTCTAAAATTGGGTGTTGCTACAAAAATGTTCGTGTTGCTACAACCTGAAAATTTCATTTACATCAAAATCTAGGAATTAAACTGTCAAATTTGGACGTTGCTACAAAAATTTCGTGTTGCTACAGATCAAAAAACTCGAAATGGCCTATATTTGGGTGTTACTACAAAAAATTCCATGTTGCTACAAGCCAAAGAGTTCGAAACGGCTCGAATTTGGGTGTTGCTACAGATCAAAACCTCTAAAATTGGGTGTTGCTACAAAAAATGTTCGTGTTGCTACAACCTGAAAATTTCATTTACATCAAAATCTAGGAATTAAATTGTCAAATTTGGACGTTGCTACAAAAATTTCGTGTTGCTACAGATCAAAAACCCAGAAATCGCCTATATTTGAGTGTTGCTACGAAAAATTCCATGTTGCTACAGGCCAAAAAGTTCGAAATCGCTTGCATTTGGGTGTTGCTACAGACCAAAGCTCATTTTACGAAAATTTCGAAATTTTCCAGTGAAATATCACTTCGGGAAAAATTTTGAAAAACTAACTTTTTTAAGCACAATTGAGGAGAATTCACCCTCTTACATTTGAATTTTTTTCTAGAAATCTAGCGAAGGGAAAATTGTGATATTTTTTCAGAAGAAAGAGAAAAGTGAGGAGCTCATTATAGGGAAATTTCAGAATTTTCCAGTGAGAAATTACTCCAGGGAAAACTCTATAAAATTGACTATTTGAGGTAAAATTAAGGAAAATTCATCCTCTCACATTTCAATTTATTTTTGGAAAACGAATAAAGCAAAACTTGTGAAATTTTTCCAGGAGAAAGAAGAAAATGACGAGCTCATTATAGGAAAATTTCAAAATTTTCCAGGGGAAAATCACTCCAGGAAAAATTTTGGGAAGTTGACTTTTTCAAGTAAAATTAAGGAAAATTCACCCTCTTACATTTTATTTTTTTTCTGGGAAACTGGCAAAAGGAAAATTGTGGAAATTTTCCGGAAAAAAGAGGAAAGTGAGGAGCTCATTATAGGGAAATTTCGAAATTTTCTAGTGAGAAGTCACTCCAGGGAAAATTCTGTAAAATTGACTTTCGAGTAAAATTAAGAAAAATTTGTAATGGAAAATTGCTCCAGGAAAAATTTTGAAAAAATGACTTTTTCAATTAAAATTGAGAAAAACTCATGCTGTCACATTTCAATTTATTTCTGGAAAACTAATAAAGCAAAATTTGTGAAATTTTTCCAGGAGAAAGAAGAAAATGAGGAGCTCATTATAGGAAAATTTTAAAATTTTCCAGTGAAAAATCACTTCAAGGAAAGTCGAGAGGAAAGTTCTGAAAAATTGACTTTTTTAAGCCAAATTCATCCTTTCACATTTCAATTTTTTTCTGGAAAACTGGCAAAACAAAAATTGTGATTTTTAACAAATGCCTCAAAATTTCAACAAAAAAAAATCGTAGTGAATCTTAACAATTGCCTCAAAGTGTTAAAAATGTCATTGTCATAAATGTCAACAAAAAAAAAAAATTATCGGTTTTATGAGAGGGACGTTACATATATATTTTTTTTTAGTTTTT